TATTATTATTATTATTATTATTATTATTATTATTATTATTATTATTATTATTATTATTATTATTATTATTATTAAATATATATTTAAATATTATATATATAATAATTGCTAATTTTTTTTTTGATTTTTCTTGGTAGAAAGTGATGTATACATTTCTCTGCTAAACCTCCAAAACTTGCTTTCAGACAATTTAAATAAGTTTAAAATACTACATGATTTTTTTGAAAATTCTTTATTAGGAGGTATTATGATATAGCAATATGTATATCAATATATAATGACTGATATGTTTATAAAAGAATTTATTTATTTCAAAACCAACTAATTACCTTTACTTATTTTTGGGCATATTTTTAGAGATATTTAATGAATCAAAATGTTCAATTAATTATGATGATAAAACTTTATTTAATAATAATAATAAATCATTAATGAAGTCTGCATCAGAAATCACTTGTAATATTTTATCTAAATTATTTACCGAAGTTTCACATCATCAAACTATTGGAAACAAATCTATATTTTTAATATTTGCTCAACACCTGGATAATACATTGGTACCTTATATGAGAATGATAGATGATTGGATATGTAAGGGGGTTTTAAATGATCCTGCAAATGAATTTTTTATTGTGAGGTTTGTTAAAAAAAGGCATTTGTATATATATCTGTATACATGCAAATCTTTGATTTGATTTAATAGATAAATTGTCTGGTTCTAATTATTATTATAAATAAAAAAAAGAACACCAGGAATAAATCAAAAATCCTCTCAATATTGGCAGAATTTGTATAAAATAAGAAATATTAATAATAATAATGACAATGATCATCATGGTGGTGACAACAACAATGATAATGATGATTTTATTGATAATTATGACTATGATGAATTATCAAAGAAACAATTTCCTGATTTTTTATCACCTTTGGTGAGTAGGATTTTATTTTCTGGAAAAGCTCGTAATTTACTAATGACATTAAAATCAAATGAGGTAAATTACCATTATAATAGTACTTATTATTATTGTTGTTGTATTTAAAAAATATTTTAACTTTTAATAATATTAAATTTATTAAATTATTATTAATTTAAATCAGAATATTGACAAATATGTGGAAAATCTTGAAGATGTTAAAGGAAACAACAATCACAGTGATAGCGATAATGATATTTTTGATAAATATGAAAACACAAGTAACCCTAAAAATATTATTATTAATTCTGCTGACCAAATGGATATTGATGAGGAATTTGTTGAAGAAAATACAAAAATTAAAGATACTAATGTTGTTGATGATAAAGAGGATGATGTTGTTATTGATGTTGTTGATGATGATGAAATGGATATTGATGTGAAAAGTACAGAAAGTTCCAAGGATAATAATAAAAATGACAACACAAGTAGCCAATCAAACCATGATGGTGATGGTGAGACTATTAGATTGCTAGAAATTGGAAAATTGCCAGATATGAATCAGATTGTTGATATATATCCAAAGGTTATTTCTTATCAGTTTCCACTTTTATTATTATTAACTCAATCAAAGACAAAGAAAGAAGGAAATACAACTACAACTGCAACAAAAAGTGAATTGAATGTTTCTTTGGTGGATCATCTAAATGAAAACGAATATGAAGATTTGAATGAAATGTCTGTGTTTCAACCATTTACTGAACAATTCCAAGAAAATTTTGAAAATTATCTTCAGCCTCGATATGAAAAGATAGGACAACAACTTTACAAGGCTTTAGTTAGACAATGTGATCTTTGGAAACATTTAAAAGCACTTTCTGGGATGTATTTTATGTTACAGGGTGAATCTATGCATCAATTATGTGATATAATATTTGATAGGGTATGTTTACAGTGGCTATTTTATATCACTATATTGTTCTATTACTTAATTATTTAAAAGTTAAATCATAATAATATTAATAATATTTTGTTTATTTTTAAATTGCTTAGATTGATAAAAAGCAAGTTTGGTATGATGGATATGTTATTAACCATATTTTTCTAAACGTTGTAGAAAATTTTAAATGGTTAGATAAAAATTTAGTTAGTGCTTGGATTGATGATGATGATTCTACAAAAAGACCAAATACAACAACTGTTAATGTTTTTGAAAAAATTGTTATTGATTATCGTGTAAGTATTGTTTTATATGAACAAGTGAATGGAAAATAACTTGAAAATATTAATGGTTAATTTATATATATATATGGTAGTTGCCATGGCCATTGAACATTATAATACACAATAAGACTTTAAAATATTATAAACGTATTATAATATTTTTATTACAAGCGAAACGAGCAAAATACCTTTTGGAAAGATTAGCATTTACCAGGATTCAAAGTCATCTAGAAAAAACAGCAGCCATGATATTATTTTATGGTGTCAGAATAAAATTATTATGGTTTTTAAATACAATTTATGATTATACAATGAGAACAGTAAGTTTATTAAACCAAATATATATATACACACACATGAATGTTATTATTATTATTAATTGAAAATATTATTGAAAAAAAAATCAGATACTTCATTCAGAAACTGAAAATTTTCATAAAAAAATGAAACAAATTTTTGACGTTGATGAAATGGTAAAAATGCATGAACAATTTATTCAAACAACATATGATAGATGTTTACTCAATGAAAAGGTTAGCTGGCCCTTGGAAATAATTTAGGAATGAAATAATAATAACAATCTTTTCTTATTTATTTATTTACTAAATAAAATATTAATATTTTTTAAATAGGCAAAACCTATTCATAATTCAATATTGGATGTATTCAATTTGACAATACAATTTACTACGTTATATACAAGATATCAAGGTGAAAATGTATCATTTTTTGATCATTCTAAAGTTGACAGATCAAGAAAAAATCATCATGATGACTATTATGATGATGATGATGATGAGGATGACACAAATTCAAATTTATTGGATGAAGAGGATGATCAATGGATCAGGCCAAATAAAAATGATAACAAACCATTGATACCTTCAATAGTAGACTATGAAGACTTTCTCCAAGGTCTAACTATAATTGATAAGGAATTCAATAGACATAAAGAGTTTATAACTGATACCGCTAGAGAAATTGCAAAAGTTGGAGGTTTTTGGTGGCTTGATTCTTTAGCACTGTCATTAGGATAATTAGCATTTAGTTATAATAGTTGAAATAAATATTTTATTTCAAAAAAACTTAATTCATCTTATTATTATTATTATTATTATTATTTATATATAAATGAATATAACTATAAAAAACAAACATATATTTATATCTATTCTAATTCCAAAGACCATCAGGAACTTTAGAATCAAAATAATCAGGAATTTTTTTGCCAAAAGCAGTCAAAATAACAGCTGCTATACTCATATTAGAAACCTCTTTAAGAGTTTTACCTGACTCAATTCCTTCACCTCTGGCACCCCAAACTATGTTTAATTCTTCTTCCGAATCTCCACCATGATTAGTTTTAATGCCACCATGATCAGTTGTCAACAAAATCAAAGCATCTTCATCCCAACCAAACTCTTTGATTGCCTCAAGG